GATTGTACTGTGAATGCACTTCCAAAGCGATTGACATCAAAGCCAACAGCGATTTAATTTATTTATAAATTCCATGGTTTTGTATTTGGTGTTGTTGCAATGTATGAACAAAAATTCACTCGAATGTGCACGCTTCATACTCATTGGTTGTTAATGTTCTTGTCATTATTATCAAAACGACCTGATTTCAAATCATTTAAACTTTTTTGATTAATATGTTTTGCCGTCGTTGTGCGGCAGACACAAAAACAAAAACTTTGCTAAGTGGTTCATAATGTTCAATTTAAAGAGCGAGAGTTTTTGAAGCAGAAAAGAATAGAAAAAAAAAACAAGTGGAATAGGAAGGAAACAAAAACTATTTTGATAGAAATAGTTTGGTCTCGAAAGAGCCTCGAAAAAAAAACTCCAGATAAGTAAATTAGTTCAATGCGCGCAGCGTATTTTTTTATTAAATTACATAACAGACCAGAGTTATTTCGATGCAAACATTCCATACGATTGGCAAATATTTGTCAATGCCATAATATATGTGTGCGAACAAATACCATAATTGTTCGATCCAAAAATCAGTAAAGTGTAAAAAAGGGTCGTCGTTGGGTCATGTTCTTTATTTAAATTGCTTTTGTATATTTTGTGTTCAACATGGTTCAGTGATTTTATTAGTTTGCTATTGAAAACCATCAATTGTTATGATTGAAGCGAAATGTAAACAAACAATTTCTCAGAAGTGTGGGCGTTAAAGCAATTGCAGTCCCGACTAACAAGTGCGTTCACATGGAAATTGAACTGTGAACAGATTGAGATTAGCGTATCTATTTACCGAAGGTGATGGTCCGCAATAAATAAATGAAATCATCAAATGTGTTGATATATCGAATGACAAATAGTCGCTGTTGGGAGGATTTTTAAACAAAAAACATCCACTGGATTGATTACATTATATCATCGCTGAAAAACAAGCAATGTTATACGCAGGAAGTGGTTTAGTTTAATTAATTCATTCGACGATGATTTGTGATAATCTCAAGAGAGACACAAACCAGAGCACATATATTATATATTTTTTTATGATTTATTAAAAAAGACACGACGCCACAATGGACTTTGCGACTTCAAGTGATTTTTATACTCTCTAAACGACGTCAAGTGCGTCGGAGCTAGAAGACAACGATTAATGAACTCTTCATCTGTTTCATTTTGTTGTTCTCTTTATTTGGTGTGTGCTGTTTTTTCTCATTCGTATGAAATGACACACGACACCAGAAAGATTTATTCGAAATGATTGAAAATGATATAAAAATGTGAACGTGCATGTCACTCTACGACAAGACGAAAGCGAAAAATTAGATTAAAAATAATTTTCGTGATAATATCACGGAGAATGCGAGAATCTAAATAATTCAACTGAAATCCATTAAGCAATTTGACGTTTTCATTTTGCACCATCCGTGTGCATTTGATAAGTAGCAGCCGGTCTGTCATTTTAAAGAAAAAAATACAAACACAAGATATTCAAGTCATATGATTGCGAACGGTCTTGCCTCATTTTTCACTGTATTTTTGTAACATTTCCATGCTGCATCATATATATCGAATGTGACTGAATTTCGGATGGAATGCTTATTTATGGGCGTTATCAAAACAAACATTTTCGAAATAAAAAATAAATAAATAAAGTTAATGCCCCAAGAGTCTTATACATGTACGAAATAAGCATCCAAAAAGTCACACTCACGAAATGAGCGAGAAATCCGTCATTCTGTCCGTTTTTATTTCGACGAAAAATAAAGTGCCACGGTAATTTTTGTTGCTTTTTCATTTTTATATAATAAACTGCATCGAATTCCGGGTTTCATTTCATTTCGCAATATTTGTCGCCTGTGTCACACCAAACGCAGTATTTATATTAGTCAATTCGCCATATTATATTCAATAGTCCGGTCTATCGTTCTGTAGATCCTTTTATTTTTAACTTTGCCCGCATCATGATGTGAACGAAACGATTTCTATGCAGTTTCAAGGTGAGAGAGTTCTGTTGCTATTTCCGTTTTCTCTATTTTCTTTTCATTTTTTTTTTCGAAATGCGAATCATGTGCCACAATTAGCAGTACTATTTGAAAAAGTTTTATTATGAACGCTTAGTTGGCGTCTGTTGAATACTATTTCTTATTCTCTGGCTCAACAAAAGCAAATTTTCTGAAAAACAGTCACACATTTTTCCGAACATAAGCTGGCTTTCTTTTTATGATGCCAACTGAGCATTTCAAATTGAATTTAATTCTTTTGATGTGTATTCAAACACACACACACACACGTACAAAAGAACTGAAGGGAGCCTATTCAAGTCGAAATCGGACGACAAAAGCGATAAATGTCTTACGAGTGTCTCAATGTGTTTCGTTCATTCGTTTGGTTGACAAAAGGGAAAATTCATAATAAAATTGAAACGAGTCGGCAAGAATGTTGCATGTCTTTCTAACATTAAACAAAGAAACGAACAGCACAATTACATTACAGCAGCAGTAGTATTAACATATGACGAATGTTTCGATCGGAAATATAAGCACAGCAAAATGGATAAGCATAACAAAAATGAATTCATAAACTTTAATGCCTGAAAGTCGTCGAATAGGCTGTAGACGTCATCCATATGTAGCAGCAAATGCAAATAAAATAATCGCATCCCTTTGGCAACAATACACCAAAAAAGAAATCCATTCGACGATGACGACGACGTCGACGGCGGTAGCGTCAAAGTATCGTCGACGCTATGGGATTTGTCTATATTTAAAATACATATAGCAGAAAAATACGATGGCTGATGAGTCATCGCGTCGCATTTATGCATAAAGTTTTCGTGTTTTCGGGAAGGGAGCATGCATGTGGGGTTGCTATTGCAGCACTCAATGAATAATATACATTTTCACTTGAGTTTCATGTTGGTTTTCAATTGCCGACATTTAAATTCCCATTTGGTATTCGCACAAAGTGTGCCGGTAATATAAGAACGCAAAATCAAGATAATCGAAAATAGACCTTGAGAAATGAGAGATTTTCGACAATTTCTACAATGGAATTGTGATGGGGGATCAAAATAAAATAGATACTATCATAGCGTGAACCTGTCTCATGATCTAACAATGGGCAATTTTTCATCTTGTCATTTCATTGAATCTTTTCAATAAATCCTATTCGTTTCGAAAAAAGAAAACAAATCCATCGATAAATAGATATCAAAATGAGAAATAGAAACGATGAAAAGATGGGCGAGGAACGTGTGTATATACGTTGATAATACATTAAATGTGGCCGTATTATATGGTTATCCTTGCGCATGCTCTTTATTAAATTTTTACAATTCTGCGTAAATAAATAGTTGGAACCGAAGCTCATTGTCGACATCAAACTGAAGTCAACAGCTTGCCGTATACGTAAAAACAAAACAAAAACGCTCGTAGAAAGACTATAAAATAGATAAAGACTAAGCAGAATAAAAACGATGGTACACTGGCACCAGTCGACAATTACACGTTCATACGCTCTGTCTCTCTCACTCGCTCTCTGTACAGCAATAGAGAACGGAAGGAAGGTAACGTGAACAATATGCGACTCCATTCACTCACTGAAGGTGAAATGTAGAACATTGCAGTTCACCAAACTATATGGCCAACATGAAAACGAAGAGAGAGCGAAAAAAAGAATGCAGTAGAAAGAATCAAACGAACCATTTGAAATGCGAGCACACTGCAGTTGCATTTAATCAAGGGATTTTGCTTCGCGTATTTCTCGACTTTTTTTCCTCTTTGCCTGTTTATATTCCCACTTCGCATATATAAATATCAGAGCATGGAATGTTCAAAACACGAAGGATATGACTGCGGCAAATAAATTAGAAATATATAGTGTGTTTCAGTTTTCATTGAATTCCTTGCTTCACTTCTATAATCCCATATCCTCCTGTGGCATTTTTTTTCTTCTTCGCACAATGAATTTTTTTCTTTTTCGAAAAGACAAAAAGAAAATCCCATACGAAACATCGCGTCATAAATTTTCCCGTCATTATAAATGTTTGTTTGAAGGTTTCTTTTTGAAATAGTTGTGTCTATTGCTTTCGATTTGTTTTACGCTTGTTATTCGCAAACATTTATATCCTCAAGATTTGATTTATTTTCGTGTGAATTTTTGCACCAATTTTTGAACCCCGAGAGCTCGCTAATACTAGAAACGCGCTGCCAATTTTTGCCATAAATCCATGAAATACAGCACATGAATTATTCGTCTATAAATAAGCAAATATAAATGTAACCACTAAAATATTTGAAGATTGTAGTTTGTAGAATTCACGCATTTGTTTTCGCACATTTTATTTGTTTTTTTGTTGTTGCTGTTGCCATCGTTAGCCATTAATTCAAAGGCCACATTTTCAAATCAAAAATCGAAAACAAATTACGTAAGCGTGAAAATAAAACAAAAAATAAAACTGAAAGCGATGAATAAATCGAACAAAAAAAAGAAGAGAAACACACACACACGATTGCATTGGTGTACGATATATGTGAATTGTACAATTAATGTTTTTATTCACGATTCAATTCTCGTACGAAATTGTTTGATAGCATCCAATGAGTCCGCTAGACTATGTAATTATATAGCACTTGCTCGTGTTTCTCGGTCAAATCATACAAAACTAGAACTAAAATGAGTTTCTTTTTTATAGCGCGCGATTTAATTGGTTGTTGATGTTTTACTTTATCGGCGAGTTCAATGGAATGTGCAACGCAAAGTGGTGTAAAATTGCCGCTATTTTGATGATGTCATCTTTTGGCGACTTTAATAAAGTCCAATAATCAGTTATTATGATTTATTTGTTTACGACGCATGATGAGCTAAGGAATTATGCATCAAAATGGCGAAACGACTTAATTTCTGTCGCTTAATGATTCACACGATAATCGATCTAAAGTTCAAGTGAAATGTAATGAAATCAAATTGAAACTTACTGTGATTCGTTCATAACATCTTCGACACTCCGCACTTGCACGGGTGCCAATTCCTCAAGCGATTGTTCATAGTTGCCAAAGCATTTGGTGATTTTCTCATCAAATGTATTCACTAGATCCTCCAAACTTCCGGTGAACGCTTCGGCAAAATTGTCCATTGTATCTTTCAAATTGTTGTTGCAATTCAACGAATCCGATTTTAAATCGGTCAACGTTTGTTTTTCATCATTTTTATTACTATCCTTGTTGGTGTTGTTGCAACTGCCTTTGATTGCCTCTTCCAACAAATATAGATTGTCATTCTCTTTAAGATTCAGATTGAGCGCATCGGTGATGGCCGCTTTGAGTGTTGCATTCGATGATTGGTAGTCAACTGGACCCCATTCGTCAGTCTCTTCAAATTTGGCCAATGGAGCTTCAAACTTTAACTCAGCCATTTTGTTAGCCAGGTCCCGCATGGCACCAAACAATTGCACAATTCACAAATTTCAATTTGCAAAAACACGATCTGGGCGAAAATGACAAAATAAATCAAATAAACACACCGTCACGCTTATGTAAATGCAAATCAGTAATCGATGTGACACTTTATGATTGAAACGCAGTTTTCACTATCTCGCATGCACTTTCTTTCTTACTTTTTTTGCTTTCGATTTATTGGCAAAAACTCTCACTCTATGTCACTACACAAACACATTCACATGTGGTCAAAACAAATACACTTTTATTACTTGGATTGTTATCTCTTGGCATGAAAAAACGGACGTTGATTCTTTAGTTTTCCGTGCGTATTTCTTTTTTGTTGTTCTTTTCTCTATCAAAACAATGTTTTTGTGATTTTTTACGTCGTAAATACTTTCCCTTATTACTTCGACACTGAATAGGCTTTTTATTGCTTGGTTGTGAGAAGATTATCGATTTTTTTCCGCCTCGATGTGATAATATATCCTATTCCTTTGGTGAAACAGAGCACAAACAACTCGAATACTCGACTGAGGAGCGCGAAATGTCAGCCAAATAAATATAAGGTTTTTGGATTTTATTACACACGCGCACCACTTTACAAATTCGTTCGGTCGTCGGTCGCAGAATGGAAACAACGAATCGATGTGCATGCAGTTACCGCAACAGTCAACTGAAAACTAAACACTGAACTAGCAACATAAATATTTCAGCACACAGCACAACGGGCCAAACAAACCGAAAGGGAGAATGAGACCAGCCGTCGAATACGAATATCGTCCGAAGCGCTGACGCATATGTATGGGTGCGTGCGTATGTGAAACCAGAGAATTTTATACATGTGTGTATGTATCTTTGCAATGGTTCGGGCTGGTCTCTCACAGAGAAATGCAGAAATTTTTGATAATAGCGAGAGAACAAGAAAGGGACAGAGAGAGAATGTTTGTGTGTGTATTTTCAGATGCGAGAAATAAGAGCAACGATCTGCGACGAGATCACGAGATGAACTTAGAAAGATGAAAACCAAAGAGAGAGAGAGCGAAAGAGACAGATAGAAAGAGAGCATGAGCCGTGCCATGGAATGAATATAAACGCATGCACAAAACAGGGAACACGATGAATTCCACAAACACGATAACTCGCAGCAGGCAAAAGAGAACGAAAACAATCAACCGAATGAATGCGTATATTGTTCTTCTATTGCGCTCCGTCAATTGTAAATCTATGTATTTTCGGTCATTTGATATTGCTGCTACTGCTGCTTGTACTGATGTGCTGATCAAATCGTATGAACGTGATTTTTTAAATCGACGTAAAAGAAATGATAACAAGAAATTAACAGTAGTGCTTACCATTTAAATATTAAATGGGTGTCATTCTAACACGATATGACATTGTATGTATTTTAGAAAAAAAAAATTATTTTCACAAGTTTTTTTTTTCAAATTTCCGACTCATTTCGAATGGCAAGAGATAACAAAAATTGCTGTCGACTGACCCTTATCATTTTCATGTAGTATTGGCATTTCCTTCAACGAACGTAGTAAGCAATGGAAAATTAAACAAATTAAATCTTTTGATTTTCAGCCTATTGGAAAAACATTGCAACATTTTTTTTATTTTCAAAAAAATTCATTTAATTAAAAAAACCATTCGGAAACATATTTAGTGTATTTTTGCAAATGGTAGTCAACATCACCGATCGATCTACATGGCAAGAAGTGATAACATAAATGGTTCATGCGTCTATTCATTTACAGTTACACTGAGACGGACAATGCTCTCTCTTTCTCTACGTGTGCGTATGTATATGTTTCTCGCTGGATGAGAGAGAGAAAATGAATTCTCTACACAGCAATACACACATAGATGACACAATTCGAAATGCCATCTGTTGCTCAGAATCAAAATGTAATCTCTACACTTCGTGAAATGAATGAAAAAAAAGAAATATTGCATTTTGTGCAAAGTAAAATGCTTATCTTTTTTGTGATTGTTTTGGAAAAGGGTCAGCAAAAATTCCACGAAACATTTTTAAAAAAAAAATAGACAGATGATGAACTTCCATCGAAAAATACATATGTCGATTCGCCTGACATCAAGTGATTTTAAATGTCATTCCCGCATTCATGTTCGCAATTAATTTTATTTTCCTCTTAATTTCTGCATATTTAATTGATATTTATATAATGAAATTAATTGTTAATTTGAACATGTGCAGAAATGAAATTATAAATTTCATGGTCATTTCATCACACATATCTCTCGATTAAAAGCAACAGCAACGACAAAAACAACAGCACGGCTTCTGCCGAAATAAATCTACACTTTTGTTCCCTGTATGTCTCTCGGTAAGTCGTGCATTTGGCGGAGAGAAAAAACAACAACATTCTCTCTTGCTCTCTCTCCCTCTCATTCTCCCTGCGAGTTTGTGTGTCAGTCTCGAAAAAGAATAAATCCAATTCGACCAACGTGAAATGATCGATCAGCATTCGGTCTGTTGAAATCGCTCGTCACTGCAACAGTGATTGTTGGTTTTTGCCAATTAATACATTTATCGCAATCGTCCAAGTGAAAATTGAAAATTGACCAAAAGAGCGAATGAAAATTAAAAAAAAAAGTTTGCATCCAGAATTTGTTTGAAAAATTGGCTCGATTGAGTGTGTTATACTACAGAGTGTGTTACAGTGTGTTGCCTCTCTGTGTCTGTCGCTCTTTCTCTCTCTCGCATTCTGTTTTGTATTTTACGGTGTTGTGTGTGCCGTCGCCTCTCACAGAAGCGCACGTAGTGTTTCCAATGTTCGATGATGGCGTACCGATAAAAGTGTATTTGTGTGAACGGTACAGTGTGCATAAATGAGAGGCTCTCTGGCTAGCAGCTCAGTCTTTTGTACTTCATACCTCGAATTAAAAAAAGTGTTTTTTTTCTATTTCATCATCGTTGTCGTCGTTCGTTCATTCGTTCATTTCGTTCATCGTTGTGCTACAAAGTTTTTCGTATCGAGGATTTGTAAAGTGGTAAATATTGTGTGAGCGCTCGCTTACTAGGCACACAAGCGCAACGTCAACCTCAATGATAGATACGATTCGGAATATTGTGCTGCTCTCGTTGTCGTCGTCGCTCTTTTATATATAGAAAAAAATACACACATTTTACATACATTTACATTCATGCTGCAACTTTAGTGTTTTTTTCTTCTCTCACTCTCTGTGCTGTGTAAAATTCCTTTTTTTTCGTGTTTCGTGTGCAGAACTAATAATATGAAAGAAGCATCAAGTCAAAACAAGAAGAATATCAGTGAGCGAGTGTGAAGAAAAACTTTTTTTTCTCGTACACTGTTCGGACGAAAAAGAAGTGTCTTTTGTTTTTTTCCATCAATTGTGAACCAACCGAAAGAAAAAATTTAATTTGGCTTGTATGTGTTCGGGTGTTGTTGTTTTTCATTTTGTGTGTGAGAGAGCAAAATAAGAAAAAGTAAAAAATAATAATAAATAGAAATAGTTAAGCGACACGAACCAATTGTGTGTGCGCTTCAACGATGACCGATTTCATCGATACTTTACTGACAAGTATGTCATCGAAATTCAACGAAACCAATGCCGATTTACAGATCAATTTAAATGAAGACAAAACATTGAAATGGAGAGGTTTACATAATAATCAATATGCGGCCGTAAAAAAACGCAAAGATATAAAACGAAGTGAAAAATCAACATCAAATACAACAACATCGTCGTCATCGTCGACAGACGATCCGCCATTATTGAACGATAGCGCTAGTGTTACTGTTAATGCAGATGATGTTACAACAGCAGCAGATGTGACACAGTCGTCGCATGAAATCGATGCAATCGATGAAACGGTACCGAATGAAAAAAGCGAAATTGACAATTTAAGTGGTAACGATACCAAAAGTACAGTGAACACCGATAAAATGGAAAAAATAAATATTGATAAGGAAAAAGACGATGATCAACAGCGACCATTTAGACGTACATTGCGTCGAAAACAAATTGCTGACGATTCATGTGAAGATTTAAGTACAGTGAATACAGATAAAAATCGTAAAGGCGGTTTACGACCAAAGCGACAATCGTCGGCCGGATCGACAAGTGAAAATCGATCGGTGTCACCGCGAGGAAAAGATGATGAAAAATCAAATGCATCCAATACCACCGATACTGTGGCCAATCGAAATAATATAATGACACGACAACGGGGTCGAGCCAAAAAAGTTGACAGAGAAAGTAGCATTGAAGCTCAATCGAAGAGTGCTGCCGACGAATCAAATGAATCATTACCAAAGACACGAAGTGAACGTGGAAATTCAATTGCAAACGAAGTAGACGATGGTCTGAACAGTACACAACCAACACCACCGAAATTACGACGCAGCGAACGAACGCATACATCTACGCCCAGCGATCAAAAGGATCAAATCATTCAAATTCAAGATAATGATCGAAGCAAAGCAGAGACAACAGATAACCATGAACATAAATCTAGCAGTGCTGATAAAGAGCATGCAACACGATCACGTAAACGTACATTCGATGATAAAAAAACGCATGACACCACAACCGACATCAAAGATGACAAATGCATTGTTGACGATGAATCGGTGCCTAGTGTTGTGATGGACATTGATGTAAAAGACGATGTCGAAACGAGCATCGATACGAAACCGGAAAATAGCCAAAAGAACGATGACGTTGAAATGATTGACGTTCCAACCGATACAAATCACGATGATCAATTGTCAAATGGTAGCGATGGAACGAACGTTGTTGCTCGCAAACGTGGACGCAAACCTGGTTCGACCAAAGCAAAAGGCAATTTAAAATTAAGCATGACTATTGCAACGCGAAATTCACCGGTTAAGAAATCACCACGGTTCACAAGTGATGAAAGTCCATTCGTTTATACCATTCCGAAAAAGGATAAAGTTGCAGCTGAGGTATGTTGCATATTGATCATATTGTTTAGTGTTTACAATGACACACATGCATTGAGTCCGATATTTATATTTGCGTCGCAATAAGTCTTTATGGCATTGATGCTTATTATGAATTATTGCTTTTTAAAATTCTTCAATTTATATGAATAATTCAACATATGTCGAAATAAGTATCATTATTTTTGCCTTTTTTCGCAATATTTATAAGAATTCTGTTTCAAAATAAGATTTTATTTATGTTTTTTTTTTCTAAATAATTTTTCGCATTAGGCACAGCCTCAACAGCGTTTATCACGTCGTATAAAACCAACACCAAAGATTTTGGCCAATGAAGAGCTTCGACAAGGATTTGAAATCCAAAATAATGCCCGTTTATCGCTAAGCAGCGAGCATTTGGACAATGAATTGGAGCGTAGTCCAAAACAAAAATCTCCACCAAGTACACCGTCATCACAAGACAATGCAAAACCCGATGCTGAATCGGTGGCCAATGGTATCGAAAAAGTGGTTAGTCGTAGTAAATCGAACACACCGCCGAAACGTCAATCAAGCAATTCAAACGATACATCAAGCTATGAGGTGGTGCGACCAGTGCGCCAACCATGTCCAGATCCCGAGAAACTTTTGAATGAAATAAAACAGTTCAAAATCAATTTGCATCGATCGCCCGAACTCGATAAGAAGCTCAATTTCAAGCAAAAGAAACGTTTGATCAAGCTCAAAGAGCGACATTTTCACAAGCTCGGTTTGCAACGTGTATCAAAATCGCATGGCAACAAAGATTCATCGGACGATGAATGCATTGAATCCGACGATTATGAAGATTTTGTACCAAATCAGAAAATCAACGTCGGCCGACCGAGTGTTACATTGCGAATGCGTGGCCAAAAGGACATTGTTATTTATAACAAGCACATTAACAAAGCAAAGACCGTTCGCGATAAAGCATTGAAAAAATCGCTAAGCGATAAAGTGCCGGCTGCAATAATCGATCAATTGGATCATCGTTCAAAGGAATTGATTACACGAAATCCAGAAATCAGTTTGATATCAAGCACAAAACACAAATCCGTTGGTGGTACATCACAATCTCAAATGCGTAAACCAACAACAAGTCATCATCAACATCAAATCACATCGGAAGTGACGCTATCGATCCGCAAAGAGACCGATTCGAACATTTGTTTGTGCAACAAAGTGTCGAAATTCTACACACGAAAAACGGACGAAACATACTGTTCGGCCGTTGATCAAATTGAAGATCAAAAAGTCGGTTGTGGTAATGAAGTTGAAGGTGATTTGCTCAATTTATTGCGGCCAAGTATTCGTGTTAGCTACATGTTATTGTGTGAAAGTCACAAGAAACGTTTATTTTCACATAATTGCTGTGCATCGTGCGGCACGTTTTTGACACAGGGAACATTTATGTTGTGCGCTAAAAATCACTTTTTCCATCGTGATTGTGCCACAAAATTCATATTGAATGCACCGTTTGATCCACAAAATCCCGAATTGGGCATGTGTCCAACGCTTGTTTTGAAGTGTCCACATTGTGGCATTGATGCACCATCGGGTGAGACAATTGTTACGATGCGATGTGGCAGTGTTCCAATATTTACTACATCACAAAAGAAACTCACAAAACCGGCCAAAATGAGCATCGGTCCGCATAGCTATCGATCAATAAAATCACGTGAAGAACTCAATTTACTTGAAATCGAACGTTCGATACCGGAAAGTGTGGTGAATCTTTTGACACGTGCACAAAATCGATTCCCATTCACACGCGGCAATCTTTTTACAACCAAAGATGTATGCAATGCCATTACAAAGGATGATATCGATCGCATGGCCGAAATCATTGCCAGCGGATTTGATATTTCAACGCCAATCAAAGAATTTTACAATGGAACCTGTTTGCATTTGGTGGCAAATTTTGGCAATGTTAAAATGACACATTTGATTTTAAGTCGTGTTGCGTCCATCGACTTTCTCAATATGCTCGATCAAAATCTTCGAACAGCGATCATGTGTGCTATTGATGGCAACAAAAATGATATTTTGAAGCTTCTGGTTCAGTGTGGTGCTGATGTTACGATTAGAGTAAGTAACACTTTTTTTTCGATCTTATGTATGTCGAATGTATTTTGTATTCATTTTTGATATTTTTGCACAGGGAACGGAAGGAATGACGGCCCTTCATATGGCAGTTAAAAAGAAGAATTACGAGGCTCTTGAGATCATTTTAAACACATATCGTGAATCGTCAAGTCTACATCAGATTGAGAAATTCTTGAATACGCGTGACGATGGCGGATGGACGGCAATTGTTTGGGGGGCTGACGTTGGTAATAACAAAATTGTCAGCGCTTTGCTCAATTGTGGTGCTGATCCAAATATATGCGATGACGAAAACAGCAGTGCTTTGCACTGGGCCACGCTATCGAATAGTATCGAAACGGTTATGGTGCTTCTGCAAGCCGGCAGTAATTTAAGTGCACAAAATATAAACGGAGACACCGCACTGTAAGCGATATAACTCATTTTAATTGTGATCATCTTGATTTGTATTGTACATTGAAATCTTTTGTTTTCATTTTTCGCGATTCAGACATATCGCATGCCGAAACGATAATACCAGGATTGCATTGTATTTGTTGGCGCACGGTGCCAGTTTGGACATCACAAACAATGCAGACGACTCTCCGTACGATTGTGTATCGGATGAAAATAGTGCATGCGGTCGTGCCATACTATTTAATCTGCAAATTCGTAATGTTGCCGGTTTGCCAGAGCAAAACATAATTCATCCGTAAGTATTTGAATTTTCGCTCAAATTTAAAAACAAATGTTAAATGAAATCTGTTGGTCGGCATTTCAACAGAGACATATCAAACGGTCGTGAAACCTATCCAATTCAAGTGGTCGGACGGAAGAAATATCGAAATGCGCGTTCAACTTCGAGCCAGAGTGACACAGACACGGATTCACTCATACCTGATTTTAAATATATTACCAAAACGATTTTACTCCAGAATTCGATTCAAATCGATCGTCGCGTATCACAAATGAGAATTTGCTCTTGTGCCGACAAGTGAGTGTTGATGTCTTTTGATTTTTGGTCACATTCATTGAAATTACATACTTTCGCTCTTGATTACAATCTTTGTATTTGCTCTTTTTTTTCAAAAACAGTTGCACCGGTCAGAATTGTCAATGCAGTGAGATGTCCATTCAGAATTGGTATGGTCCCGATGGACGGTTGATTAGCGATTTCAAGTATCATGATCCTGCAATGATGTTTGAGTGCAACGATGTATGCGGTTGTAATAAATTGATGTGCAAGAACCGAGTCGTACAGAAAGGTTCGAAGGTTGCTTTGCAAATATTTGAGTGTGCCGAACGTGTGAAAGGATTTGGAGTGCGGGGCATTGCGAAAATTCCACGCGGTACATTTATCGCCGAGTACACGGGTGAAATTTTAACCGATAACGAAGCAGATCGACGCACTGACGATACATATTTCTTTGATCTTAGCTCATCTGGCGTAATTATACACAATTTCTTCTTTAAACTTTACCATTGTTGGTACGTCTTTCTACATTATATTTTTTTTGTTTTCATTTTCTTTTGGCAGTTTTGTATCGATGCCAATTTGTACGGAAATGTCAGTCGATTCTTCAACCACTCGTGCGAACCGAATGCGGTACCGGTTCGAGTCTACTATGAACATCAAGACTTACGTTTTCCAAAGATCGCATTTTTCGCAACAAAAGATATCGAACCAAGTGACGAGATAACGTAAGAATTTTGTACTTTCATCCAATAACAATTTATGATATTTAACATTTTTATCATTAAATTGCAGTTTTGACTATGGTGAAAAATTCTGGATTGCCAAACATAAATCGTTTACATGTCATTGTGGAACAAAATCTTGCCGATTCTCAGAAGGAACAATTGCTAAAACCCTAGAAGAATACAACCAAAGAAACTCTTAAGCAGATCCAATACAATTGAGACACACACACAGGTGTTTATTGATCTTTCAAATGTAAGAAACAATCCTCCGTTTTTTTAAACCAAAAGTATGCGAAAGGAAAAAAGGTTAAAATGAGCCCAACTAAGAAGATTAATATTTAGTGAAAAAAAAACGAAATTCATTTGCAAATGGAAATTACTATTTTTCTAGTAAAACAACAAAAATTTACCAAAAAATGAATGAAACAAAAACAAAATAGTAAAAAGAATTAGATGAGAAATTAATTTAAAATTAAATAACATGTAACTATTACGATTTACAAAATCTGTGTCACATATACCAAAATTTTATCAATTTAACCGAAGAAGATTTAACAACAAGATGAAATACCAGGATAAACAACTTATTTTCTATTTATTATAATTAATTATTTTGGAGAATCGATCGTATTTATTTTACCAATGAAAACAAAAGAGAAAAAGTATCGAAGAAAACAAACAATAATAATTAATCGAAACCAAATAAAGTTTACACTTACACGATAAAGTTTATGTATTGATTTAATGGAATGGAACCATATACACGCCAGCACTGTGTACCAGAATAGAGTAAAAGCCTAGTAGAATATCGGGATAGAGAAAAAGTTTGGAAAGAATCTAATTAAGTATCTAATTATTTACCGTAAACGTAACTAAGTCATTATCATTCATCAATCACTGTAGCGCTTTGATTTTGTGTGGCCAAAAAGAAGAAACAAGTGTAGTATGTATACCATTTTTTGCCATTTTTTAAGTTAAAATAAAATATAAATATATTGGTGTCTTTTTAAAGAAGAGAAAAAAAAGAGTAGATATTGAAAACGGTCGATGAATGACCCGATTGTGATTCGATCACAGAATGAGGTGATGAGTTTAGTCATTGGTATTGTCAATTACATAATATAGGAAATAGGCGAGAAAGCAGATGGGTCGAAGGGATAGAATTTAAATTTTCAGTACATGAGACTGAATGATCGAACGAGCATTGGAATGTGAATAATTGCTGTATTCTGTATGTCGACAGGTCATCGACTGCCATATATAATTTATGTCATTTTTTTTCTCGGATTCGCTTGCAATGTTTTAGATTTTAGTATTACACATTTTTTTTCCTCTTTTTTCTCATATTGTATGCTCTTTTGTAATCATACCTCATCATCAAATCCCGTCATATTTTTTTTTTTTCTAATTAGTCCAAAAAGCAACAAAAACCTGTGCAAATCAACGCGTTTTTTTAAAACCAAAAACACAATCATTTTTTTTTTTTCGATTTTATTTTTATCTGAATTTTTTATTCGAATTACAAATTTCTATTTATACACAAGTAAATTTAAACAAAAGAAATTAAATAAAATAAATTCAAACAAAGAACATTTATGTTCAACGACACGAATACACAGCGTACCGACAAAGATTTAGTCAAATATTTTAACCATTTTGAAAATACAAAGATGAATATCATTTGAATGGAATAAACTAAATGTAATACAATACAAATTATTCATTAATAATTATGTATTTAAGCATATTTACTAATAAAAATCTATATGAAAATTTACACCACCTTCAAAACGGATGAATTTTTATTCTTTAAATAATAAGTTAAGTACTTATAGTGCAGAAATGTTGAATTATTATGAATGCAAACATGCGTTAAAAGATGAAACACTTATAAAATTGGTGTTGCTTGTCGCGACCGCAATCGGGTGGTAACGCCAATGTTGGGAAACATTGATTTTTCCACGCTAAACTCTCTTATCACAGACGGAGTCATACGCGATCTCCTGTTATACTCGTCGGTTCTTTGCATCATTCTCGATGTAATGTCATCTCGTTCAACACTTTGTCGCGCAACACTTGGTCGATTTAAAATATGATAATTTCGATCGCCACACTCTTCAATTGGTATTCCTTTTAAATCCCTTAATGCTTGTAAAATTTCCACATTTTGTTTATTGATAACTTGCAATAGACTGAGTGTCATCTTCTGTGAATCCACATAAGTAACCGTCTTAACCACATAAACTGTACACATGACGGCAGCAAATATTTTCCGGATCAACCACAATGTTTCGAACAGTACAATTTTTATATCTTCAATGTAATAGTCGTTGCCCAGGTATTTTTGAAATAATGATTCAATCAAAATGTTAACAATTGCCAGTACAAACAATAAAAATCGACAATTCTCCGTTCGTTTAGCTGTTGTTGCGATCATTATGACCGCCAAAACAATCGAATAATACATGATTTGTTCAATTAATAAATATTCGCCGACAATCCAATTGTGAAATTGTGACAAACGTCGAAATAAATCGCCCAGCTGACGTCCTTGTTCCAACGTCGAATTGCGAAATTGTTCGGTTAATCGTGATAAGCTGCTTTGCGAATCGTTTAATACATCCGATAAATTAACACCATGCTCCACTAATTTCTGTTGTAATTTTAATCCTTCACGTTGTTGTGTTAGTAAATTGATTTGTAAACGTCCGGCCAGCTCAAGTTGTCTGCTTACGCTCTGAGAATGTGATTTTAACAAATGGACTGTCTTCACAGTTTCTCCGTGCCAAATTTGATGCATTAAGTAGAAACAAATATTCTGAGTGTGTGTATAGAAATGTGTGTATGCTTGAAAAACACGTTCAGACATGTTACCGATACATTCGGTGTCTTCGCATCCATCCAGACCGGAATCACCATCACCACCACTCATTGCTATAAAGCATTTGGTAAATCGAAGGGCAAGCATTGCTTGTGTCTTTTCATTGAGATCTGTGCATGTTACATCAATTTGTCGAACAGCTTCGGTCCAACATCTTCCGTACTGTGGTAAATTCGCATTCGATTGCATTAGTCGATATTGTTTTTCCCCTTCGTTCAGTTGCACATCGTACGATTGACTTAAAAAAAGGTTTGGCTCCTTTGCCATTACCATGACACCACACAGGTAAATGTTCGCGACAGCGATGCACAATGAGAGCCAACCCATTTTTTTGTTCAATGGACTTTTTTTTGACAATTTTTAATTTATATCACAATGACAAACACCACGAATGAAAGTACACAAATTAAATTTCATTTTTTAAATATGCCGATAGTTTTGCTGTGAAATGTGACGTTTTTTTTATTATTTAAATGAAAACACAGCAGCAGCTGCTATTTGACAAACGTTTAAACTGAAGACAGTACATTTGTTTTGGTTTTGTGCCGTTGTAAAAATAGACAAGCGCTGCCAACTTAATGTTAATTTTGACAGAACAATCGCAACATAAAGAACATACCATTGAACGCAATGGTTATACATGTGTGCGCGTGTATAATATGTATAAACTAGTCAACTAGACTCTTCGTTGTACACAACAATCGTGTTGTTGCCTGTTTGTGTACAGAACGTGCATGTACATCTTTCTCTTCATTCATATCATGTATATGTATAGTGTCAGAGAAATAGTTCAATGTTTATTGCCATTTCATTCTGTTCATTTAAGTATTCTGTTTGTTCATCAAATCTCAGTGTACTTGCATCGCACTCATTTGTTTGTTCATTCGGTCGGTGTTTTCCGTATGTGTATATATACACGATGAACGTGCACTATCAACAAGCCACCGCTCTCAGGTTCATTACTGGTTTTTCGTACGAATTCGTTTCTTTGAGTTCGTGTATTTTGTATTTTGCTCATTTCGTCACGTTCGGCCCTGGATTTTATTCTCTTCTCTATCTCTGAATGTCGCATATAAATGACATCTTTTTGCTTTAAACGATACTCGCGGAACTGGTTAGTGTGAACAAGTCCAAGCAAATAGTCGAACACATTTCGGTGAGATCTTTTTTTAGTAAAACATATTTTTTTTTGGTTTGTTTGGAGATAGTATTTGAAATAAATGACAATATTTCGGCTAGACATTTAATCACAATTGCAACATTATCAAAAATTGCATTGAATCGAAAAAGTGTGTGTTTGCTCTGTTTTTGTTTAGAAAAAAGTGCCGAATTTGATCGCCATTCAACGGCGGCATTCGTACATATAAAATATTATTTTGACCTTAACATCACAAGATCTTCTTTGAGATTGAAATTTTCTATTCGTGTTTTTTAACGAAATAGAGATAAAGAGCGTCGTCGCAAGTCGTTCAGAATATATGTATGAGCCATTGTCATCACCCTATATTCTATGTACAATACTTGATATTTTTGTGGGTTTTTCCCACATGCACAATACACACAGTTCCAATAGATTTGTCGGAAGAGAAACGAAGCAAGCGTTGTCGCTTTTTATATTTCTTCATTTCAGTTCCAAATTTATTGACCAAGCAAACACACATATATTCAATTGAAATGCCATTGTTGTTGGATATGGTATAATTTAAAATTCAGTGCTCTTTTAAATTTATTCAAAAACTGACCGTTGATCGTAGCACACTGATCGGAAGAATCGTGGCACAATACAAATCGGATACAGCAGGATTTCGACATAGAATTATAGCAGTGAGTTTCAATATTTATATTTCAAGTGAATCACATTAAATGGACATAAAAATGATTGTTGAAAAGCTAATTAAATAAAGTATATAAATAATGAACAATGTGAAAAAACCAGGTTGTTATTTTATATTTGAAATGTTAAATAGAGCGATAACATTACCAGCCATTAATAAGCTAAGCGATCCAATTTGTGCTTGTGATATTGCAAACTATGATGAACTGCTCTAAGCTGTAATCATTATAAATTGAAATAAAAAAAATCGTCAACAATTTTACGAAAAAAATTGACTAAAAAGCGAAAGAAAACAATCAATATATGAAACCTTAAATAGGCCTATTAACTACATTTTACTCAAATATTTGTACTACATTATTGAAATTTTGTTTATTGCAACACATTTGTTTGTGACACCCATGAAAAACCCGTATATAATGACATCATATGTCGGAAAAAGTCGATTAAATCGCACTGATTTGCTTTCATTCATTTGTGCACAGTGGGAAAGAACAGTTTTTTGGCAACGAATTGAGAGAAAGTTACACAAAAAATCATTGAAATCGTCACAAATACAAATTGAATTTAATTTAATTGTAAAATTACAAGAGCGGAAACAAGAGGTGCATTACTACGGCAACTAGTTTAGAAAGAAGCCAAATACGTCCTTATACAAAATTTTCTTTAAAAAATACGTTTTTTTAAAATATAGATGTTGTTTTATTATTTAAACAAATATCTGTTAAGAATTTTTCGCCATAGCTACATGTACACAATATCTCCATTTTACAAATAACCGTCAGAACTTTAATCGCAGAAAATACAAAATTTCCCTCTCAAGTGTAATCATAATGAATTATTTTACAGATAAAAATACATTAAAAATGAAGGTGACTCACTTGAGCACTCTGTGTGCTTTACTGTCGTTGCTTGTGGTTGCAAATGCCAACTATGGAAGAAGAGATTTGATAAGACCAACTCCTGCTCCTCAATATTCCTCTCACGGTTATCGTTTTTACCAAGGATTTCAGCCCATCGAAAGTCGATTCTCACCGCAAGATACTAGCGTTAATTCGAATGTACCACAAGACATACGTATGGCCAGCACTCAAATTTCACAAGGATCCGAGAAGTTTTCATTCGAAATGTTTATCGTAAGTAATTTTTTTATATTTCATTTTTTCTACTTTAGAAGTATTGATCGTTAAGAGCAAATATATCTATCCTTTTCCTTTTAGTCAATGGCACATGCGCTTCAACGATACGATTCAAATTTTGTCATTGCACCATTTTCGGTGTGGTCTTTAATGTTATTGATAGCTGAAGGTGCAACCGCTACATCTTTCAATCAATTACAAGCCACACTTCGTATGCCAAACGATATGAATACTTTGCGTACTGCTTACAAAAATTTCCAACGTCTATTACTTGTGAATACATCAACCGTTGAATTGGCAGTGAATCAGGCCTTATTTAGTGACATTAATCGTCCAATTGAAAATTCGTATGCAACTATTTTAAGCGATGAATACGAAGCCGATCATTTGGCTGTAAACTTTAAGCAACCAGCCAACGCTGTCAAATTCATAAATGATCATATTGATATGCGTACACATGGAAAAATCAAGGACATCGTCAAACCCGAAGATTTGATTGAAACTCAATTGTTGCTTACATCGGCAATTTTCTTCAAAGGACAATGGAAATTCCCATTCAATATTAGTTACACCAAAGATATGCCATTTTATCGTGAAGATGGAAAACCAATTGGAAACGTGCCAATGGTAAATTTTTTGAATCATGCCATTTTTTCTCTCTTTTCGTGCATTAAACATTTAATTTCATTGTCAGATGTCACAACGTAAAATCTTGTCTTATACAACGATCAATCAATTGGACGCAAGCATTCTTGAATTGCCATACGGAAAAGAAGATCGTTTGTGTATGTTGTTGATTTTGCCACGGTATAATTCATCATTGGCTGCGGTCTTCCAAAACTTGCGCAACTTCAATATCGCCACAATTAGTTATGAACTTCACAAATACGATAATACCAACGATTATGATGAGAGTGAAATCGAATTAACATTGCCACGATTCAGCATTGATTCCGATTTGGAACTTCGTACCGTACTCGAAGAGTTGGGCATCAAAGATATATTTGATCCGGCCAAAGCAAATCTCTCGAAAATGTCCAAGCAACCGTCTTTTGTTTCGCGTGTTTTCCACAAAGCGGTTATCGAAGTAAATGAGCAAGGAACTGTTGCCGCAGGAGTTACAGGTACTTTTTTGTTTGTTTTTTTTTTTGTACAATTGAATCGGATTGAATCTGAAGTTTAATTTTTATTTTAGCTGGTACCGTGTCATTCAAACAATCGCCCATTGAATTCATTTTCAATCGTCCATTCGGATTTTTGATCACCGACAAAGTTACAAACACTCTCCTCTTCGCCGGACAAGTAAAAAATCCACTCGTGTAAAGAAGTTTTATTGTGGATAAATTGACAAACTCGTCTCATGTAATTAGCACATTCTTAACTTTGTGTCAACAAATATTTTTGTCTGCTTTTAGTACATTTTTTTAAATAAAAAAAGAACATGACAACTATTAAGTGGTACTGTGATTGCTTTATAATTTACTGAAACGTTTCAAGTGCAATGAATTCTTACAACGAACTTGAAGTTTGAAACAGAAAAGTCTTTGTGCCATGTTAATTTTATCTTTTACCCCAAATGAATAAATCACCATCATCACATATGGAAGATTTGTCTGCTTTTCTTTATCACCGGGTATATTATCATCTTTTAATTTCTACATTTTATTCATTTTTAAACTTGGACACTAAAAAAATTGTGCCTAACTGTGTAGCCTGATCTAACATTCTGTAAAAACCCGTCGTATTTTCCCATGAAGTTCATTGTTTTCGCAAACTGGAGACATGTGCAAGAGTATACTAAAAAAATGAATACTCTTCATTGTGTTGATTCAAACGTTGCGATGACGGTGTGTATTGTATGGCGTTCACAACTGTTTGTAAGTATCAGGTGATTTTTTAGCAAATAAAAATCAAATCAACTAAACTTGTTTCGCCTGTATAATATGGATACATTGTCAATGATGATTTGTGAAACCTGTTCAGCCACTTTGATTGTTTGTATCTGTAACAACTGTAGACTCGCTCGTTCGTTTACACGCGACAATGTCACAGTAAACGTGCTGTTTCAAACTATTCTGCTCATTTACCTCCAATCAGTGTTATTCTGTCGCTGTTTTATCCTGTTCGGTTTCCGTAAAATTTGATTATTTTTGCAATACAGAAAAATGTATTTGCACCATCGTTTGTATAAAATTTTCACGATTTTGTTGTGTATTTTCCATTTAACGGTGGCAAATATTCAATCACAAGAATCTATAGTTTTTCCAACAACATATCTACAACGACAGAAATCATTTGATTTATTATCAAATAATACGGTTTCCAGCGAAAGTATTGTGGAACTATCACGGTCCGCCGAAGCATTTTCCATCGAATATTTTCAAGTATGTGAATAAATTTTTTGTTATTAAATCAATGCAATGTTTGAATTGTGTGAACTTTAATATGTGTTTAAATTGTTTGTTTCGACGAATGACAGCATATTTCTCGCCTCGAAGTATCTAAAAATAATAATTTAATCATCTCACCGTTTTCAATATGGTCGTTGCTATTGTTATTGGCTGAAGGATCATCGGGACGAACATATGAACAATTGTCAGCAGTATTACGATTGCCAAATGATTTAACCAAAATTCGGCGTGTCTATAAATATATCCAGAGTGCTTTTCTACAGAAAAATACGGCGATCGAGCTAATAACGAATCAAGTGTTATTTAGCGACATTAATCGACCAATTGATATTGATTTTCAAGATAAATTGGAGCGCACCTATGAAGCCGATCATTTTCCCGTTGATTTTACGCAGACATTTCAAACGGTGACCAAGATGAATAGCTATGTGAAAGATAAAACCAAAGGTAAAATTGAACGCATCATTGATCCGGTCGATGTTTACGCTGCAAACTTGGTGCTTATTTCGGCGATCTTTTTTCAAGGTCGTTGGAAAGTGAGTCATTTTTTTTTTGTTTTGTTTAAAATGAATGCAAAAAATTAACACGGTAAAGTGATACGACTTTTAATGAATCTTATGTCTTCTCTTCAGGATCCATTTAAATTGGAAGATACCCGAGATTTGCCATTTTACAATGAAAATGGCGTGGTAATTGGCAATGTGCCAATGATGTTTCGCAAAGGTGGATGTTCTCATATTCGCGTACCATCGTTAGAAGCCGATATCATTGAACTTGCCTATGGTTTTGAACAACAATACAGTATGGTGATTTTCTTGCCTTTCAAACAAGCATCGTTGATAAGAGTGATAGATAATTTGCGCATTCTAGGCTTGCAGAAAGTTATTGAAAATTTAAATCAATCCGAAGAAGATCCAGATCTTGAAATCAATTTACCACGATTTTCCATTTCGTCTGATTTTAAATTGAACAGTGTGCTACAACAAATGGGATTAAAGAATGTGTTCGATGAAAAGCTGGCCAATTTTTTAAAAATTTCGAAACATTCTACCTATGTGTCACAATTCATACAAAAAGCTGTGATCGATGTTAATGAAAATGGTACAATCGCAGCAGCAGCCAATGCTGCATCACTTTCATTCCAATCGATTCCATTGGAATTTCATGTTAATAGACCATTTGCATTTATGATCATCGAACGCACAACTAATACCATTCTATTTTGTGGCAATGTGAAAAATCCACTTGCTGCATAACCTTGACCAATTTTACCTTTTTTTAATCAAATCGCACACTTTTGAACATAAATATAAGAAATATATAGATTAATTTGTTTGTATGGAAGGAGTTAAAAATAAAAACAAAAACTAAAAATAAAACAAATCATTTTATCATCCATCTTGTCTTACGTAAATGCTAAAAGTGTTTGTATGTATTTTAAATGTAGTTTAGCCAATTCAAATAAATAAAAAAGATTTTGTAAAAATGATTAAGAGAGACTTTGCGGTTAAGATTCATAACTTTCCCACGAAAAGACCAGACACAATATCCGTTCGTATGTCACCTACCAAAATACCAGCAATTTTGATGCAAAAGGTACAATGGACGATACCTTTACAACGGAGCCTAACAGGGGGCATTGAAACTATGAAGTTTAGTGCACATACAATGTAAATAATTATCGGTTAGAGTGAAAACTACATAATATATTTGCCAATAAATTCATATATTCTTTATTTAAAATATTCAATGAAATATTTTTACATGAGTTTGTTTCTTAACATATGTTACAAAAAACAAAATGGGTCATCAATCACCATCAAATACCATACTTTAAATTACATTTTGACAGAGAAAAAGATGCACATAAAGACTTAGATTTAAAGATTTATTCGGACTAAAATAGAATCAATTTTTGTGTACTTTTTCAATTCTTAAATTTCTCTTTTTTTCTCCAAATAATACTGCAACATGAAGTTTATTTCCCTTAGTATATTTGTTGTATTACAACAAATAAAATATCTATAAAAACGTTATGTTGCAGTATTATTTAGACTCTAATATAGACATAGGAATTTTAGAGCTATTTTTTCGCCGCAACAATTCATATGTAAATACACTGCCAGTCTTTGGCCATAGGGCTTAATGTGAAAACGTGGGACCATACTGCTAACCAGTAAAGTGCACAAAGTGTCAGAAAAAGTTATCAATTTCACCTATACAGATCGATGTAAAATGCCGAAAAAATAAGTTTGTGAAAATAGGGGGTGCCCAATCGAAGTAGGGGGGGTAGGGGAGTACCCCACCATGTCAAAATTTGGTCGGATCAAAACATAATGTACTACAAAGTTGTTCAGAATGACGAGAGAAATTTTTTATGACCCCTGCCCTCCAAGTCCCCCCACCCCCAGGGGGGTCGGGGGTCATAACCCCTTAAGGTATGATTTTTTCGGCCTGAAACCTCGAAATTCGGAATCAGCATCCCAAATTACCCTAGAAATGATATTTGTCTCGTGCCCATTCACCCCAAGTCTCCCAATAATTCAGAGCCCCCCCATTAGGGTGAAATGATAAAAAGTCGATTTTTCACTTTTTGGGTGCGGAATTTCGCACTCAAATGTATGGCTAACTATAGCTAATTTTATCCGCATATTTCATTTAGGCCATTGCCCATCCCCTCCCATCACCCCCAAGGGGGGTCCCCCTACAAAATTTACGAAAATTTCGAAAAATACCCCGAAATTGGGTCCATACCCCATTTAACCCCAAAATTAATTACATATTCGGATTCCTCGTGAAAAATTAATAAATAAAAGAAATAAAGAAATAAAGAAAATTACCTATAGGCCCCATACATTCTCAATCTCCATTTAACTTGAACCTTCAATTCGGGTCGAAAAGTGAAAATACCCCATTTCATTGTGACTTCACAATGGGATAGTCACCCCTTATGACTCAAATGGGCATACGTGTTTCCTCCCATGAAAGTTACGCATATCAATGTAGTTTCCATTGGCATATAGTTTTGGCCGCCCTGAATGACCCAATTCGGAGGGCAAGGGTTAATTTTTATATTATTTTGACCTTGATCATCGGATTCTTTTGGGTTATTGATTTGAGTTCTTCCAATTTCTGGATTTGGAGATTTTCTACCTGACAGCCACATGCTTGTTGTGCTTAGATGCAACACTTTTGCTTAACAAAATGCGTCTTATATCCATTTTGTTTTTGTGTTTATTGTCACCGATCAACTGACGATACACTTTCCATTTTCTCGTAAAATTGTCACTATATTATATTCTTGGTTTACGGTTTAAGCAAAAAAAGAACAACAACGAGAGATAGAGAAAGAAATGTGTGTGAAGAAATGAGACGATCGCGTACTATGGGAACAACGATTAGTTGGTTTGTGGCCGTTTGGATTCGGCGTTTCTCGTTGTATCATTTGATGAGAGCACAGTGTTTTTATAGTCATGTGTTTGAGTGTGCGTTTTGCCGTTTTGTTTTTATTTGAATTATTCTGTGATGTGTCTCTTACTCTTATCGGCTCGTTTTTTCCCTTCAATGCCCGTTGATTTCCTCTGCCAGTGCCAGTGCGCGCATGTGTTGGATTACACAGTTGCTGTTGGTGGTGTGCTGCTGCCGAGTACGCACGGCCACTTTTTTTTCACTCTCACACTCCACTTGTACTTCATGAGCGGCCGTTGTGTGCGTGCGCGCGTTGATTGTTTTTATTCGAGCGCTTCATTATTTCTGTATTATATTTCTTTTATTCGTCACTTGATGTTATTTACCGATCGCCGTCACCCGACAACTTAGTTTTTGATCCAATTAGCGCACAACAGGTAGAAAATTTTCGATTAGCGTTTTTTTCTCAGCCACCTTCTTTTTATGGATACATATACGTATATCGCTTTTCATCTCCAAGCGTATTTTGGCCGTTAAACACACTGTTCTTGTGTACAGTGCTTGTTATTGTGCAAAGTAATGTAATGTTTATGGCTTTTTGTTTGGAATATATATAAAAAAAGTTCGCATGTGCAAGCGAAACATATAAAAAAATAAATAAGACTCAGAACATTGAAGCGACAAAGTGACGGAAGCAAGATAAAACGTTCTATAAAAAAATGTCAAAACGATGACTTATACTCGAACAAATTGAATCGGCAATCGATTAAAGAAAGAATACTTTTATTAGCACAAAAGAAAATGCGTATGAATACGGTACTCATTGGATATAATGAGTTCAGCTTTGGTTTCAAATCCAAATCTTCGACATTTTTTATTCGGCTTGGAATTGAACAATGCGATCCATGTGAAACATGCACAAAAATCACAAATATAACAATTCTCCATTCTCAATTCAACAATAAGCATGCTCTCTCTCATTTGATTCACTTTTCATTTCTTTAAATTGCCGCCGCGCTTATTAAGTGATCAATGTTCATTGATGCGCTCAAACACAATAACAAATAAAAAGGAACTTACATCCGTAAGTCTAACTTTTCCGCAGTGTTTCCAAATTTCTTCCTTTACCGAACTGGTAGTGCAGTACTAATTCAATAACTACCGAATTATATTGTCTTAGAGCAGTCAAGTTTTTTGGCCAATTACTAAAGTATTGACGTATAAATATTTCAAAATGTGTAGCGTGTCTATTGTACGGAAAGAAAAAATCACCAAAAATGCGATTTTTTTAATGGACGCAATATATATCGTAATGATTTGTACAGGCTATTTTCTTTCAGAAAATAACATTCCTAAAGTTTGAGGCAATTTTAATACAAATTGAAGATACCTCCCTCCTGAAGAAAATTTTGTATGGGGAGTACTTGCATTTGTGATTGAAATTTCTTCCAATTTGGTGAAATTATGTATTTTCATGAGAAATAAGATCCACAAGTTTTAATTGTGGAAAGAAATTCGATCAATTTCGAGTCAACAAAACACTCCAACTACATATGATCGGCTGAGAATAAAAGTGACTTTAAGTTTTTTTAAACCGTCTCCATCTTATGTAAATCCTGTACAAATTATGAGACACTTTTAAGATTTTTTCTGCTTAAAGTCGCTTTTATTACCAGCCGTACATATAATCACCCTAAAAACTTGTAGATCTTATTAACATTTCAATTAAAAGTAGGGGTATTCCCCATACAAAATTTTCTCGAAAATTTGTATGGGAGGTATCCCCAATTTTGATTGAAATTTCTTCAAACTTTCAGAATGTCATTTTTTTTGTATAAAAAATAGCCTGTGCAAAGTTTCACGTCATTAAGGTTGCATAAAAGCATGGCTCCCATACAAAAATTCAATTTTTCGCGATTTTTTTCAATAAAACTCTCTTAAAACTTGATTGTATCTCAAAATTAACGTCAGATTCGGGTTTCTCGTGTCAAAAACTACCCCAATACACATTTCAAACCTGAATTTACGTCTCTGGGGAAAGATTTATCAAGTTAACAAATTTTTGCATACCATACCCCTTATTATGGGTACTCCATCATGGTGTCACCATGGATACACCGATGCACGAATATCGCTGAAAAACAATACCAGCCTATTCCTCGCAACCCCCAGAGTTATCGTGCTAACAAATTACCTATTGATTTTTTGCGTACACCATACAGGGTACAGTGTACAGTGTACTGTGTACAGTGTACCACATCCCCACATTAACATGGCCAAAAAACCGTTGCTCTGTGAATTTTTATACCCAAAACGCATAGAAAAACGATTTTTAGCGATTTCAAAATTTTGGAGTGATTGCAATACTTTACTGCACACAGTAGGTGTGCGGAAAAGTAAAAAAACATCGTCATTTTCTTTGGAACTGTTCTTCGACAGAAATTGTCGTTATACTAATTTCATCGGGGTCTATAAGTGCGTTTACAGAACCTACAACAGCGTCGCTTGCTATTGCTCGAAATGTGAGTATGATATTTCCTTCTTCTTTTTTATATCGGATCGTCGAAGAGCCGCTCGCAGTGCTTGTTTCTCCCTGTCGTTCCATATCGATCGATTGCATTATACGCTGAAGAAATCGTCGATCGTCCGCATTTGCGTTGTCGATTTCTCCCCTCAATTTTTTTTCCTTATTGTCTTCGTTCATTATTTTTTTTTTGCCCGGTACCTCTCACAGAGAGGTCAATACAAGTCATCCCGAGCCAATGACCTATTAGGAAGGAACCTAATGTTCACTTTGATGTTATATGAACTCCCACTGATTCATTTAGATGTTTCATGAACTAACAAACACACCGAGTGTGTCCCACCCACGCATTTTTATGTATACGTGTGTTCCTTTCTATCAAACACTATACGTTCAATACAT